CTTCTGTGCCTGGGAAAGAGAAAACGGCCATTTAATTATTGGGAGTTAAAAATGATCCCCCTGATGGAGAGAGTCGCATTAGTGCAATTTCCTTTCTGCTTCCATTCGTCTGAGGACCGTGGAAGAAGCTCAGGCAGAGATGTTATTTCAGGTTTAATTGTGTGGGCTCCAAGTGACACAAATGTCCTCGTCCAGGCAAACCCTCTGTGCTCTGGGGGTCTTGGACAGGACAGAAAGGATCCTGCTTTGCTCAGATGTGCCTCAGTCAGCTGTAGGTTTACTGATTCATTTATTATTTCTGTGGTCACAGTGATCCCATTTTTAATTTTAGCTCCTGAGGGGTTGTGCAGGAGCTGGTACAGGCACAGCGTGCCCAGGGAAGCTGTGGCTGCCCCATCCCTGGAAGTGTCCAGGGCCAGGTTGGAGCAGTCTGGGATAGGGGAAGGTGTCCCTGCCTGTGGAACAGGATGATCCTGAAGGTTCCTTCCAACCCACGATCAGTTTGTGTTTTCTAACAAACAAAAATGTAACAAATCTCATCTGGGGTGGCTCTGGTGTTAAGGAGCCACTTGGCAATTAAACCTTTAATTGCCTCACAGTTACATCTGCAACTACAATGCAATTAGCAAGCCGAGTTTAATTTGCAAAGCCAGGCTCTGGCTGAGAGTCCCAGGGCTCGGGGGAGGTGTGGGGGGACCAGGCCAGCACGGGGAAGCTCTTCAGTCTCGGGTTTCACAGGGTCACAATGTCCAGGGCTGGAAGGGACCCACAAGGATCATCGAAGTCCCACTCCTAGGACTAGGAAAAAGCTTAATTTCATGCAGTTTTAGTGCATCTCTGAAATCCTGCAAACCAACAAGGTGAGGTGAGACCCTGGCACAGGTTGCCCAGAGAAGCTGTGGCTGCCCCTGGATCCCTGGAAGTGTCCAAGGCCAGGCTGGAGCAACCTGGGCTAGTGGGAGGTGTTGGAGTTGGAACTGGATGAGCTTTAGGGTCCCTTCCAACCCAAACCATTGTGTGATTCTGGGATTCTTTGGGTTTGCAAACTGACTGCTTTTCAGGCTGCCTTAATTTACCATCCACAAACCACATGAATAAAACTGCAGCAGCAGCTGTTCCGGAGCTCTCCTGGAGCTGGTCCTTGGAGGATAACACACCCCCTCCTGTCCAAACAGTGCTCTCCTCCTGTAGCATGCAACTGAGACTTCTGAGTGTCCAAAACCAAAATATTTTGGGTTTTCCTGGTTGAAGTGGTTTGTGGCAGGTATTCCCATCGGGAGCAGGCTGGTGGCTTCTGGAGGTGTCGATCTGCTGATCCTTCACTCTGGGCACCTTCTCGTGTTCACTGTGGAAAGGGAAGTGCAGAACTGACCCTAAAACTTGCCTTGGCTGTTTGATGCAGGGCCATCAGTGAAGGCTCAGGTGGTGTCAGGGTGTGTTTTGCCCATGTGAGAGTGGAGATCAGGAGGCACTTGAGGGGAATGCAAAGGACAGCCACCAAAATCCAGCTGCCAGGACTTTCCTAAGCCCTCCATGCTCGAGAAGACACAGAGATTATTATTTTATTTCATGCTCTATTTGAAAAATCACTTGCATTGTCCATCATGATGGAATAGTTTCTTACAGCTGACAGAAAAGTGCATTGTTTGGATGCCAGTTAAAGCTCCCCAAAATCAGCTCAGCTGGGAATTAAATAACAACGTTGAATTCAATATTTTGGAGAAATGCAGCATTTTCAGTCTTCTTGCCTGGAGCATCCCTTGCATTATTTAGTGTTTATCTGGTGGAGATGCCAAGGCAAGTTGCAACTGGATCTCTATTAATTGATCAATATTGTGATCAAAACCATTTTGTTTGGTTTCTTTACCTGCTTGATCCATCCAAGGGAACAGTTTGTCTCCTCCATGGAAAACTGCTCTGTGTAGGCTGCCAGGGAGGAAGAGAAAAGGGGGAAATTCCCTTTTATCACTGTGTTTGACCCTTTAATTCCATGAAAGGTGAATTTTGCTCATGGCCTGAGGAGTAATTGTGGGTGTTTAGTGTCCTATACTGCTTAATTACCCAGCAGGAGAATGGGAGACTTTCTCCAGGACAGTAAATGGTAATTAAGGAGCACATTTATTACTGAACCCCAGGGAGGGAGGGGCAGCCTCCTCCTGCTCTGGTGTCAAGGATTGGATTCCTTCTCCTCTCAATTCCAGCCTTCCTCAGGCTGCTGTCCTGGCCAACCTCTCCTTCGTGTGCTCTGAACCAAGAGATCTGTTCTCTCCTGCAGCAGCTCTTTGGTGATGAAGTCCCTGCTGGGCTGCTCTGGGATTGGTAGAAGAACACAGTGTTTGAGGAGGAAAAGCTCTGGAAAAGTGCTTTGGGAAAGGGCAGGAGGAAGAGCAGAGGTGGCTCAGAGCCAGCAAACACCACCAGCCTTGTGGCTGTCAAGGTTGTCCAGGGGCTCGCTGTGCTCTGACCCTCTCCCAGGCTGGGCACTTCATTCCTGAAGGTCTCCCAGGACTGTGGCCAGCCGTGCCCAGAGGCTGCAGGGCTGGAGCAGAGTGTCCTTCCAGGGAACCCTCTGGGGACAATCCCTGGTAAAACCCAAATGCCACCGTGCTGAGGCATCCCTTGTGTTCCTGCAGGGGCTCCTGCCTGTCCCTGGAGGGGGCTGTGGGTCCAGAGCAGGAGCTCCACTGATGCTCTGCAGGAACAGAGGTTGCTTTGGGTTGGAAGGGACCTTAAAGATCATCCCATTCCACCCCCTGCCATGGGCAGGGACACCTTCCACCAGCCCAGGGATCCCAACCTGGCCTTGGACACTTCCAGGGATCCAGGGGCAGCCACAGCTTCTCTGGGCAACCTGGGCCAGGGCCTCCCCACCCTCCCAGGGAACAATTCTTTCCCATATCCCATCTAACTCTCTGGCAGTGGGAAGCCATTCCCTGTGTCCTGACCCTCCATCCCTTGTCCCCAGTCCCTCTCCAGCTCTCCCAGAGCCCCTTCAGGCCCTGGAAGGGGCTCTCAGCTCTCCTGGAGCCTTCTCTTCTCCAGGTGACCCCCCCCAGCTCTCTCAGCCTGGCTCCAGAGCTTGGGGGTCATCATCAGGATGATCTGCACAAGTTTGGAGCTGGTTTGGTTACTTTTAGGAGGTAAAGGGTTAAATGCTGATTAAAGCCAGAGGTTGGGATCCTAAAGAGCCATTTGCTGGAAAATTGCACTGGGGCTGAGTATTTCAGGGATGATTGGAAAATAAAAGAAGATTTTACAGTCCATGTGAATGAAAATACTGCTTTAGGGACACAGGGCTACCAGAAATGATGGAAAAGGGGGGGAAAGGTGGTTTGAACTCCACAGAGTGATGAGATCCCAAAGCCTGGCCTGTGTCCCAGCTGGTTTATGTGTGTCCGTGGCTCAGTCACATGCCAGGAGATCTCGGATTATAAACCAAGGCAAGGTCATGGAACAGGTGCTTTTGGGCTTTTGTCCTTGTTTCCCAGCCCAGCCCTGTCCTGGCTCGTGGGGCATTGGAACCGTCAGAGGCTTTTGGGGTTTGCTGTGAAACACAAACTGGGTTGAATTGGAGCAGTTTGTGGTTTTCCAAGTGTTTCCTGAAGCTCCCAGTTTCCTGCTTAACTCCATAGCTGCTGCTTGAGGCACAGAGGTGACAGTGGGTGGGATAATTGCCTTCAAATCTAAATAACTCCTTCCTTTTGGAAGCTGATCCCCTCTTTCCCGAGTGAAATGACTTTGGCTTTGTTTTTTTTAGAGCATCATTTTACCTGTTCTTGCCAATACCCACAATTTCTTGCTGGGAAATCTTCTCAGTCCTTTGGAAATTGGTATTTTAATTTCCTCCCCGCTATGTTCCCTGCACACTGGGGGGGAATGGCTGATGCAGTGTGTGGTAAAAAAATCATCTGTGCCATGTGGTGTTTTCCAGCTCAAATCTCCATCACTCCACGAGCTGAAAGTGAGGGGAAGTCATTCCCTGATGGGGGGTATTTGTTGGGGAGCTTTTTGCAGAAATATCCCCCTTTCAGCTCTGCTGAAGAACTCAGTTCTGTTAAAAAATAAATAAATGTATCCTTTAAAATCCTTTAGGAGTCTCTGAAGTGGGGGAGGCACCATTAGAGGTTGGTGTTGGGCCTCCTTGAGATAAAGATCTACTTTTGTGCTTCTTGTTAGGTGGATACTGAGTGGGAAGAAAGGAATCAGAATTTGGAAAATTACTTTTAAAGGGGATTTAGCCTGTAAAAGGAATGGAATTGGGGCTTATTGTGTGTCCTCTGCTACATCACTTGTTTTTTCCCTTCTCCTTGTTTTCAAAGGTCCTTGGAAATTTAAAAGATTGGTCACTCCCAGCCCCCAGCTTGGTCCTGAGCTCCTTTCTTGCCATTCAACCCTCGCTTTTAAATCCCCCTCCCAGGTCTCTGGATAAGCTGATAAAGCAGATTCCCTCTCATAAAATGAGATGTTCAGGAAGGAAAGGTCCAGGGAGATGGGAATTCAATGATGGCCAAGGGTCAGAGTCATTTTCCCTTTGATAGCAGCCTGTTTTTCATGGATAAGTGTTCCCAGGGATTAGTTTCTCAGTGAAAATGAGCAAAATTACTCTGTGGTTTTCATGTAGGGTGTTAAAGACCTAAATTTTTGTCCTTTTTGAGCGCAAGAATCAGGAGAAATTTCCCCTGGAAGTGCAATATGTGAAATTTGGGGCTCAGTGCTCTGCATTTCCTCACTGTACAGATGCTCCCCTAAAAAACCCCTCACGTGTCGAAATCTTCTCCAGGCAACAGTTGGTTTGAAGCTTTTAAATTCCTTTTCAAGGTGGTTTTACTCACTGGGCTGGAAGGGACCTCAAAGCCCATCCAGGGCCAGGGACACCTCCCACTATCCCAGGTCGCTCCAGCCTGGCCTGAAGCAAATAAGATTTAAAAAACTTAAGCCTGAAATTTCATTTCCTTTCTAAAACTTTTTTTTTTTTTTCTTTTCTTTTCTTTCTCTCCCAGATGGGAAGGTTGAAGTGACAAAGGAAGGAGTGAAGCTGTGCACCATGGGGCCTGGCAAGGTTTTTGGGGAGCTGGCCATCCTCTACAACTGCACCCGGACCGCCACCGTCAAAAGTAAGAGCGTTTGGGATGTCGGGGTTTCCTTGGGATTTTCTCACCTCTGCCTTGGAGTTACAGCCTCTGGCAGCTGTTTTGCTTTCTTCATTCATGAGAGGTGTGGATTTTAGTGTGGGATTTAGCCACTGGGAGCAGGGAGGAGGTGCAGAGGAAGCGCTTCCCTGGATTTGGCCGCTCGTTTTTGCTCCCTCAGGAACCTTGGGTTGATTTCCCTCATGCAGAGGAGCTCATCTCATAGTTTTCCTTACAATTCCTGCTGAATCTCATGGTATTTATGTTTTTGTGGCTTAGAAGAGCATTTCTGACCTCATAAGTCTTCAGTAAGTCGAGCTTAGTATCTGTTCAGGACAAATTTTCTGCACTAAGCTGACTAAAATAAATCAGGGAAAAAAAAAACCCTGGATGCCACTTGACCCCCTGCTCTAAACTCTTCAGCACTTCTCCTGTAATCTGATTTCTTTTATGAGTGTCCTGGGCAAAGGCTGGAGTTGCTCAATTAGGGGGAGGAAATAAATCACAGAAATACAGCATAAATACATTTTCCTCTAAATTCGGATGAATAGTTGGGATTTGGGATATTTGGTACCACGGCCCTCCCTGATCTTGAGGGATCAGAGTTTATGGTGGTGTCTTAAGCAGAGAGGTTTTATAGGAGATGATAAATAGTTGTGTGGTTTTAAGATGCTGTAGGGGAGAGGTTAGAAGGATACAGATGGGGTAGAATAATACAAAGACAAGTCCCAGAATAATGAGGCCTGGGAATGAATCTCTGTCCAGAAAAAGGCCTTTTACAAATACCTCATTTTGCTTCGAAAAGAGAGAGAAAGGACAAGAACAAATGGGCAGAAATGACAAAACAGGGGAAGAGAACTGGATTCTTGTGGGAAGAACGTGCTGTTCCCGAATTCTGGAGCAGGGCACTGAGAGATTCCATTGTTACCTGTGCAGACCTTGCACTGGTTATCCCAGGGAAATCTTGGCTACGACGCAGGCAGTTGTCCCAAATAATGCAGGAAATGTGCAGGGTAAGCCGTGCTCAGCTCTGGGGCAGCCCCAGAGACCTCCAGAGTGTTGGGCTGCTCTGCTGGGAGGGCTCCACCTCCTTCCCCCAGTCCAGCAAGGAAGCAGCAGGAACACGGGTGGGATTGGGAAGTGCTGATCCCCCCTCTGCTCCCTCGGTGCCTCATCCCTGTACAGCCCATTTCTCTGTCCAGGTGAGGGTTTGGGGTGTTGGTGGTGCTGATAAATGAGCAGCTTGTGTGATAAACACGGTCAGAGAAAGTTGGGAAGAGCAGAGACAGAGGGGGAAGGGCTGAATCCTAGAGAGGATGGTGGTTGTTTAGTTCCCCTTAGGAATGCAAAGCTAAAAGGCACCTGATCCTCTACTGCCATGATCCCATCCTTGTGTAATCTTGCACAGCCACCCTACTCCTGTGTCCCTTTTCCCCTCTTTGTCTGGGGTCTCCCCCAGGAAATCAAACTGCAGCAGTTTGTCCTGGCGGTTTTGCTCCCACTGCCTTTCCCACATCCTAAATCTCCTCTCTGGAGCAAAATTCCAGGTTGCCACTGGGCACTGAGTTGTGCCAAATCCTCTTTCCCTGGTTAAATTGGGGGCAGCAGTAAGGTCAGCACTCCAGGCACCCTCAGAGAGCTTTTACCTCGAGGAAGAGGTGTCTGTGGTTGTTCCTCTGTCCCTTCCCAAGAGATGTCTGTGGTTGTTCCTCTCTGTCCCTTCCCAAGAGGTGTCTGTGGTTGTTCCTCTGTCCCTTCCCAAGAGGTGTCTGTGGTTGTTCCTCTCTGTCCCTTCCCAAGAGGTGTCTGTGGTTGTTCCTCTGTCCCTTCCCAAGAGGTGTCTGTGGTTGTTCCTCTCTGTCCCTTCCCAAGAGGTGTCTGTGGTTGTTCCTCTGTCCCTTCCCAAGAGGTGTCTGTGGTTGTTCCTCTGTCCCTTCCCAAGAGGTGTCTGTGGTTGTTCCTCTCCGTCCCTTCCCCACCAGGGTTGTACATTTATAATCCTGCACCTTCTTCTGCCACGTTTGGAATCTCGTTCCCAAAGCCAGCAAGGGACTTTTAGGTCTTTTCTCTCTCATTACTGCTCAAGTGAGAACCAGTTGTGATTGTGATGGGCTTTATATCCTTCCAGGTGACAGGGGAACTGCTTGAGCTCGACCCGACTGAGCCGAGGTTGGGGAGGAGCTCAGATCACTTCAGGGCATAGGATTGACTTCAATGGGTACAAACAGCTCCCAGCTCCTGCCTGTGCTCTTGGCTAAATGAGAAATAAATGCCATGGATCTGTAGAAAGGCAAACCCCAGGAAACATTCCTTTCCATCTGGGGGGTGACTCTGAGGAGGTTTGTCTCAGCAGGCGTGAACTGCTGGTGACTGTGGTGGGAAGGAGCATCACCCAGCTCTCACTCAGAGAAACACTTGGGGCTTCCCAGTTTTCAGGAGGTAAATTCCCATTCCCTCCAGAGCATCAGGAGGGAATTTTTACACACATTTTGATGTGTGTAGTTCCTTAGCAGGACATTCAGGATTCCTTTCTGGGCGATGGGGCTGCAGCAGGGACTGAGTGCAGGGTGGGTTTTTGGGGTGTGAGGCCCAGCACTGCACAGGGGCTGGGATGATGTGGCAGCTGAGTGGCAGCTCTGGCTGGAACTCGTTTCTCTCTCTACCCTGGCGCTGGCTTTGTAAATAATGAAGATTTTAGTGTCACTGTGTTTAGTCTACACGGGCTCCTCAGCTGCTGCTCGCTCTGGAGGAGCAACTCAAAGGCATAAAATCACCCCGGGAAGGGCTTTGTCTTTTCCCTGTGATTTAGAAGACATTAAAATGTGATGATTCTGATCTGACTCCTGTTTCAGAAGGACCTCTTTAATAAGGCAATCCAGGTCTTTTGAAAGCCTGCCCTGAGAGAACCATTAGAATATTTTGTCACAGTTATTCCTGTCTCAAAGGAAAGCAGGATGGGGGCTGAGCAGGGCCTGGGAAGGAAGAGCAACCAAAGCCTTGGTGTTGAGGAGCACTGAGGAAGGCAGGGACACATCTCACGACACGTGGCCTTGTTTTAAGACAACTGGATGATTTTTGATGATCTGATTTCTGGCTGTTGTTATTCTGAAGCATTTGCTTTTTGTTCCCTGCTATTACAGAAAGAATAATAGTAGTTTGGGGGGTTTGTTTTTTTGTTTGTCTTTTTTTTTTCTTCTGGTGGCAACTGGTCAATCTGTCCCAAGGATGTCACTGCCCAGGCTTTGTGAATCACTGCTGTTCACAGATCAGCTTCCACTGCACAGCCAGGGAAATCCAAACCAGCAGCTCCTTCCTTCCTCTGCCTGCATTGATTATCCTGAGCTCTCTAGTGCCTACATGCAAACCTTGATGCAACTTAAGGCAGAATCACAGGCTTTCCTCCCTGATTCCAACAAATAATTTAATCCAGTGCATCAGAAAAAGGAAAACTCCACTCCTTAGGGATAAACTGTGTCACACCTACAGTGATGTCTCTGATCCCCCGTTACTGGTAACGTGGGGGGAGAAGGAACGAGGAGAGGTCAGGTAAAAAAAAGCTAAAAAAGACAAAATTACCCCCAGCTGAATTCAGGCTGAGTAAAAAAACTTTCATTTGCTGATAGACAAGATGTTTTTCTTGTGCTGTAGCTCTCATTCCTCTGGGATAATGTGTGGAGCAGAGTTCAGCAGGACTTTTACAGGTGATTTTGGACAGCACTGATTTTGTGAAAGGAGTGGATTCTTCATCCTCTCAGGATGTTGTGGTTATTCCAGGGGTAGCTTTAGCATCTGAAATGGATTCTCCTGGGGGCAAAATTCCAATAGGAACCTCCCACAGGCTGCCCTTTGCGGGGGAGTTACACACTCAGCACCAGTCTGTGCTTTGAGGGGGACTGTGAGCAAAAAAGAAAGCACAGGCTGAGGCTGTTAAACTCTAAATTATGGAAATCTCTTTTCTGCTCCTCAAAAGCCACTTTCTCAAGCTCTCCCCCTCTTGCCAGCAGTGCTAATTGTACAGAACTCCGTGTGGCACAGTGGGATTAAGGCAGGAGTTTAGCAATTCCTTGCCAAGCTTGGATGAGTTTGAATTTTCCACTGCTGGGTTTTTTTTTATTTAATAGAGTCCTGTGTGCTGGTAGTTGCAGCCCCAGAAATTACAGAACTTTTCCAAGGAGCTTGGTAACCCGGGTTATTTGCAAGGAAAAATAAGGCAACGGCAGCTGCCAATTAAACCTGCAGAGCCTCATTAAAAGCCCTGGAGAAGGATGTTGGCTTTGTGTTTCTCCTCTAACAATTACAGGAGCTCAGATCTTCTTCAAACAGTCACACCCCTTGGAAAGAAGGCTGTCTTTACATATTCAGCCATTTGATTAAAACCTTTCTGCCATTACTTCAGGACACCCGGGATGGCCAGAGCAGAGTCTGGAGTGCCCTGGGTGGAGATAAATGGATATATCCTTGGAGAAAGTAATTTAAACCCTCCCTGGCACCGTATTTTTCTTTGACCTTTCTGGGTTCTGCCAGGTAATGCAACAAAATGGGATTGGATTATTCCTCCAAGGGGATGATAAGGAGGAAATGATGTTGAGAACAACGGGCAGGAAGTTTTTTCCTCCTCTTGTTGTTGAGGAGACAGGAGCACCTGCAGGATGGCATCTCTGGGGCTCAGGAGGGACCAGCACAGGGTCCTGGCTGAAAGGTTAATGCAGACACAGTCTGATCCAAGAGAGAATAGTCTGGGATGGGAAAAGCACAGTGGAAAATTCATCCACCACCCGGGTTCGTTGGGAGCCCAAAACGTTGCCAGGCCTGTGGGAAAAATCAGAGCTGGGGAAGGAAACAGGGCAAAAAAAAAAAATAAAGTAAATAGTATCAAAGTCTTGATACTTAATTGGATTATTAGTTGTTTTTAAATAGGAAGGGCGTGGTGTAGACAGAATGACCCACCCTGGGCTTGGGTATCAAGCCAGTGTTTAAACTGGTTT